AACACCATTGAAAACAAATAGATGTATATAAAATCTACGTAAAGTGGGAGGGTATGCTGAGCACATTCAAACTGTGGGCCAGTATAGGGATGCCGAGTGCTAGTGGCTAAGTTCGATGACGCGTTTCGCACATAGTGCTTTCTCCAATATTTAGATGTTTTTAACAAGAGGAAAAATTATTTTACTTGTAATATAGAGTAGCTCAAGCTTCATTATTTTTTTTTACCTGAAATTAAATTCCCTAAAAGAAATGTTTGTTTGTTTTTTGTTTTTTTTTCCTCATTTTTGCTGGGAGGAAGACTTCTGTTGTTTTTATAGGGAGTAGAGGGTTGGAAGAAAAAATGTTTATAATATTCTGGGGACTTTTTGTTACTGATTACAGTTTAGCAGCATAGCCAGAAAACATATCAATGTTTGAAAACCACGTTTAAAAAATGTATATACCATCTACATTTCAGCAACATAGTTATGTAAACTGAAAAAATAGCCCATCAAGTGTAACCTTTCACACATACCCATGGCACGACAAATACAAATGTATTTATCCAGACCAAAAAGCACGGAAAACGTTATTGACATTTTGGAAATGTTTTATAAACATTCAATTTGCATGTAAACTGCTCTTTAAAAAAAAAAAAAAACAAACAAACAAAAAAAATCCATTTTAATGTGTCCAATTTGCTATAAAAGCCCTATTTGTCTAGCACTCTTAAATACAGAGCAATAAATGGTAAATGGCAAATAAACAAATAATGTGGGTGTGAAATACAGCAATATGTTTATTTCTACCCGGTACTGGTAACATTATTTTTCTTTCATACCATACAAAACAAAGCACGGACATATATCCTACTGGAGACTAGACATGCTGAACATGCGTTTGTGCATTTAACCCTTTGTGAATCAGAATGGCGAATGACCTGTTGTCCCGAAGAGGCTTGCACTGCCCTGTTGCACGTACAGTGTTAACACATCTTATTTCCTAATTAGATGGGAATTGACAGCTTGTCTGCTTTGATGAAGTGTAAGATACGATATACTAGCCCGAGTAGACAGATGTCAGATGTACAGTAGCCTTTAAAACTTTAAACAAATAGACACTTTGCTAAACTAATTGGCAGTGATGCAGCAATTGATGACAAGTGAAGCACTTTTGACATTTGAGCTCTTTAACAAAGGACTTCAAATCTCTTCCGACGCTGACTCACGGTGACAGAATATTTGAATGGAGACAATTACATTGAGAATCTGAAGACGGTAAAAAGAAAATCAGGATAAAATGCGCATGATAAATTGAGCCCTGTCTTTTTTTTTTTTTGCTTTTTCATAAGGAGAGAATTCTAATGTATCAAAATATATATTCCAAAAGTCATAGGAGCAGGAGACCTTACAAGGGCTATAAAGAATATTCAATAGTGAGTTTATAAAGTGCATCTTCAATGGCAATGTGTTTTTATGCTATTGTGAACCCCTTCTGGAATAGAAAAGATAGACATTGATATATCTAAGTGGAATACTGTTTATTCAGCATTCTATTCACTAAACATTGAGCAGTGGTGACATGGGAATTTTAAGAACCGACTTTGAAAATTTAAAACAAACTAGGAGTGTTAAAAAATAAATATCAGACTTTGCTTATCCAGATTTTGTTCTAAATATATCAAGTGTTATCTGACGTTACTACAAATTGCTGCTTAGTGTGCAAATCCACCAGTATTGGCTTTTGCTATGTAATTTATGCTTGGGCAAACAGTGAATTAAACCGATTGTATGAGACAGGGTATCTCCAGTTTAATGTCTTACAGATCATTATTTAGTACTAGTGGACCAGTAATCTCTCTCACTGAAAAATGAGAGAATATACATATCCTGATATACCGAAAACAATAGAAAAACGTAAATACCAACCAGGTGGTTACACTTCAGAATGACAATGGTGATCTAATATTTTAAGAAGTTTTACTCACATTAAGTTGTTTCCGAATGCGAATTGTTTTGGGCCGCCACTTATCATCCCAACTCACAGTTTAATAAATGAATACCTTGAGGGAGATTTATCAAGTCCTAAGTACGTGCTATTGTGAGTCAAAGTGCTGAATAACAAGCAAACCCTATATAAACCTATAGAATGTTTCAGAATTTACTCAAAATAGCAACGGTTTTGCCTTCCTAAATCTTCCAACTGGTTTCTACTTTTACCTAGCTGCACAAATATAAGTAGATAACCAGTTGGACGATTTAGCACATTTACTCAAAATAGCACCTGCTTTGCCGTGCTAAATCTTCCGACTAGTTTCTACTTTTACCTAGCTGCACAAATATAAGTAGCTATAACTCCAATGGATGCTGGGAAATATTGGGGCAGATTTTTATCAAAGTGTCTCTTTCACTTTTATGTCTTATTGTCGTTTTTTTCATCCGTTGTTTCTTTTGTGCCCTAACCACCATCTTGGATAAACGCCATTTTTTTGGGTGACCTAATAGATTTAGCAATCTTTCTTCCACTTTCTCCAATACAAAATTGTTTTGTTTCCCTTCTTTTTTTTTGCCATTGTAAATGTATCAGTCTTCTAAAATGGAAAGTCTTGTAACTATACGTTCGCTTTTCCGATCACTATTAGGACCCTGTAACAATTACAATTAAAGTGATGATGACATTTAATAATAGATAAAAATAATACAATGAATATTTCTTAAAATATTGTCTGTATTACAGTCTGTTCAATGTTAGCCTTGTGACTGTCATCTGTATACCATAATCGTTACAATGTACATTGTTAATGTGCGTGCATTATATAAAAAATATTATCTCTACTTTGTTAATAGATCACAGAGATTAAAAGACAAATCAACAAAATATAAAAGTTGTAAATCAGCGAGTCTGGCCTCAATGCTCTGGGAATATATTTGGCAACTCAAAAAAAATAAATACATGCATAAATTAAGAATATCAAGCAACTGACGTAGTATAATTTAACGCCAAACCGTATGATATTTGTTCTATTATTTGAAATGTCAAGTTATGATGAAGTTTCATGATATGAATATGCCATCGTGTTTTTCTCTACTGTAGATCTTATTTTTTTCCATAATAAATATGAGTCTAGAAACTGACAGGTGTAAATGCTTTAAAATATTTCTTAAAAATATTCAAGAATATATCATATGGTATGAGATGCCAATACAAGTAATCACCTGTACATCGAGTTGTCAGGTTGCAATTAAATGTCTGTTAGTCCACCCTTTCTACAGCGCTATGGAATCTGATGGCGCTATATAAATAAAATAATAATAATAATTTCACTAACAATATATATTTTGTTATACTCATTAAGGTCCTCTTCTAGATCCTAAAAAGTATCTGTATCAAAAAGTATAAACAAATAACTAAACAAGCTTTGCATTATTATAATTTCAATATTATAGATTTATCTATCTGTCTGTCTATCTATCCCAGCTACAACATTTAAACCACTGGCAGGTGAAGTAATTAACATTGATTGTATTCTTATAATGGTACCTATCAGGGGGTGGGATATATTAGGCAGCAATTAACCAGTCAGTTCCTGAATTTCAAGTATTAGCAAGCAAATGGATCTGAGTGACGTTGACATGGACCAAATAGTGATGGCTAGATGACTGGGTCCGAGCCTCTCCAGAACAGCAAATCTTGAGGCGTGTTCCCCCGGCATCCAGTGGCTAATGCCCACCAAAAGTTGTGCACGGCTGGCCAACCGGCAAACCGACATACTGGTCATGACCACTTTTAGGTTTAGTTGTTCTTTAATGCATTCTCAAGTTTATCCAGGAGAATCAACGTTTTGGTCTGAAGACTTTTATCAAGGCTTGGTAGATGTCTTTGGACTGAAACATTGATTCACTTGCATGGATCTGAGAATGCAATACAACACTAATATATATTTTTTGAAGATGAAGACCCATGGGGCCTGACATTATTTCTTGCTTATGATCCGGATGAACACCTGGGTGTAAACAAGCTATTAACGCCATCAAGTGCAAGGTTTCTATTTGTATATATAAATATATATGTATATTAGAGCCGAAGTATTCCACAGTGCTTTATAATATTAATGTGAAGATATCACAGTAAATTAACAAGGTACTACAAATTTTAACAGGAAACAATAGGTTATTTAGGAATCAATAGCACCAGTTTCGGAGATGGCCTCATCATTCTCATGTTTTGATTTTTTTTTAAATGCATAACATACACTTGAACTAAATGGCAACATACATAGAGACCTAACCTAAATGACAGCTTTGGTCACTGTTAGTAAAACATATTTAAAACTGAACTTTATTTATTATTCATTTACAGAAATATTGGAACAAAACATCAAACATATTTATCATAAAAGGGGCCAGAAAAAGCCATCTAGTTTGTTCAGCGCATTATAACAACCCCACCTCCTCTCCTCCGTACCAAATTAGTGAGTTGCTGTGTTTAGTAGATAACTCCCTTATTTGATATTCTTAAATATGCCAATGTGGATTGCCATAATACAGGATACTAAATTAGGGAGCTATTTACTAAACAGGTAAAAGAACTAAACAAAGAAAATGTGTTTTTTTAATGTTGAACATTCTGCTGCTTAGTAGATAGCTCCCTGATTTGGAATTCTTAAATATGGCAATCCACATAAGGGTGCCAATTAAGTAACCTATCTTCTAAACAACTGAAAGACCAAAACTAAAATAAAAAATGTATTTAGGGAGTGGATTGGCTGAGATCATCAAGACACAGACAAAGGCTGAGCAGTACAGCACGGGATAAAAGGTGAGTAAAAGTACCTTTTAAACCTTGCCGAGGGTGGTGGTTACCTAAACGGTGAATAGCACGTTAGTAATACACATTTGTTCCTTTAAAGCAGTTGTAAAACTGTTTCTTTAACAAATTTATGAATAAATTTTGCATTTTATGTGGTCCCCCTTATCTTTCCTTTATCGTTGATAATTTTTAACTAAAGACTAGACAAATTGGGAAAATTTGGTTTCTCTGAATCACTTCAGACAAAATTACATATCGGCCCAAATTGAATTTCGGCCCAGCTGAAATTCAATGAACGAAATTCAATTTGGGCCGATATGTAATTTTGTCTGAAGTGATTCAGAGAAACCAAATTTTCCCAATTTGTCTAGTCTTTAGTTAAAAATTATCAACGATAAAGGAAAGATAAGGGGGACCACATAAAATGCAAAATTTATTCATAAATTTGTTAAAGAAACAGTTTTACAACTGCTTTAAAGGAACAAATGTGTATTACTAACGTGCTATTCACCGTTTAGGTAACCACCACCCTCGGCAAGGTTTAAAAGGTACTTTTACTCACCTTTTATCCCGTGCTGTACTGCTCAGCGTTTGTCTGTGTCTTGATGATCTCAGCCAATCCAATGCTTGCCCATAAGAAAGCTTTGAAAAGCATGTGCACAGCAAAACACCACACTGCGCCAATCAGATCATCTCTATTAGACCAACTGGTTGAAATCGCTACTTCTGCAGAAACGCTCTACAGTGGCACCTGCTAGAGGCGTTTAAACACTGCCATATGCAAATTGTGATTCCTGCACAACGACAATGTTTTCACTTGCAATCAAATAATTCAGATTTACCCTAAGTTATAGTGATAGTAGGTACAGTTTAAAGCATATTGAGTACAAATAGCTGATGGAAGTACAATGAGTTGTTCTTTAGACTACAACTACCATAATTATTACCACCGGAGAATGCTTTTAGGTATAGACTTTATCATCCTCTGTACTGTTTTATTTAGAGAGATATTTGTGGTCGAAATAAAGCCATGTTTTTCAAGTGCCTGATCAAGATAAGGAGTAGAACGATAATTATTTCTGATACAATGTCTCAAAATTCTGGATCCAAGCACCAAACTGTTATATAAAATGTTTTGTTCCATCATTCTCAAGCAATAATTGTATTTATATTATGGCTACGGTGATGTTTTCATGAGATTTCCCATCTTTAAAAAAATAAATATTATTCAATTATTTCAGTATGATCATTCATGAGGATATGGAGAAATGCTATTAATATGGTACTTGATTTATTAGTAACCTAAAGGGACTGCCTTGGAATTCTCTATTGCCAATCATCTGTCCTACTCTTTACAAACTTGGCACCATTCCCAACCATTTGTGGGATTAATTGGCCTGTGATGTTGCCTGAACACAAGCTTGACAGCTACTCTGCAGTCAGGGCTGCGTGTCATGACTTGTTCTTGTGCATGCACTTGATGTGATTGGCTCCCCAAGGCATATTGACAGCCAATAGGAACTTGTTTGATGACAATCATTAGGATATTTAAAGAAAAGAGCAGGGAGACAGCCTGGAAGTGCTATTAGATTAGCATTTGTTATTGATCATTTTTTTCCTTTTTACGGATTCCCATTTGTATTATATTGTATTTAATATGAATAGTAATATGATACGATTTGGAGAGTTGTTTTAACATAATGAAATGGACACAAGATAACTTGCTGGAAAATTGTATGCATTAAGGGATAAGGGAAGTGTGAAGTTTAGGCCAACATTTTTCAACTTGATATAACCAGTACCACTGTTTTGGTATTATCCTGTTGAAAGAGGCCACTGCCGTCAAGGAATACTATTGCCATGAAGTGCCACGAGGTGTATATATTGCATTTATATATTTTTTTTTTTCAATCTTTTGTTCAAAAATACACAAACATACTGGATATCAAACAATTGCAAATACAACACAAGTTTCTAAAAAATATATTTGCTTAATGTGTGTCTGGCAGAATTATTGGCACCCTTTTAGTCAAAACTTTTTGCTACCTCTGTTTGTCAAGCCTACAGCTCTGAGCCATCTCCTATAATGCCTGGTGAGTTTGGAAAATACATGGCAAGGAATCTGAAACCATTCCTCCATACAGAATCTCTCCAGATCTTTCAAATTTCAAGGTCGACGCTGGTGGACTCTCCTTTTCAGTTCACACCACAGGTTTTCTACGGGGTTCAAGCCATGAGACTGGGATGGCCATGGCATGGCCTTGATTTTGTGTTTTTATTTTTATGTATGTTTTGGATCATTGCCCTGCTGGAAGATCCAACCACGGCCCTGTTTTATATTTGTTTGAAATTAAGAACAAAACATTAACAAAGTGCAGGTGGTGAGTGTCAACCCAATGAAGTGTGGGTGGTCCATAATTACAGTTACAATTGAAACAGGGTGGGGTAGTCTGGCTGGTGCTTAGAAACATAGAAACATAGAATGTGACGGCAGATAAGAAAAATTCGGCCCATCTAGTCTGCCCAATTTTCTAAATACTTATGCCTATCCCACACATGCTTAAACTCCTTTACTGTGTTTACCCTTACAATGGGTATAGCTCCATCCAGTAACCAAGGCTCCTTCTGGTGGTGGTTTGCCTGCCCTGGTCCTGGGGGGGTTGGTGTCTAGTGTGTCAGACTATATAACGTGGGTTAAGTGTAACTATCCACAATGTAAGGATGTGAGAGGGGTGAGAGTCTCCATGAGGTGTCGAGGGTTTAAGTCATAGTTATGTTGACCTCGTTTTCTCGGTTCTACAGTGATTGGGGTGTTTGGTCGGTGGACTTGTTGAGTGTTTCCAGTGTGTTGTCAGCTTGAGAGGTGATGGCAGTATGGTCACTGGGTGGCGGAAAGGTATAGAGTATAAGGTAAGAGAAGTTAGTTTAGAAAGAAAGGGTAAGGGTTTAGGGGGGTGGACGGCACACCTGTGGGTGAAGGAGGAGGGGGTGGGAGCAGGGTCTGGGTGGGTGCGAAGATGTCGTTCTTGTTAATGGAATAATGGACTGTTAGCAGGGGGAGCGTCAATCACCTCTACTGATTCAAGACGGAGTGTTACCATGGTATGGTGGTGTCCAAGGGGCACATATTTTATGGAAAGTTTTAGGGGTATCATGGGTTTGTGCTGTGAGCCTGTCCATGTCTATACTTTCTAACATCTTTTTGGTGATTTGTTGTTGGGAGGGTATTTTGATGGTGGACCATACTTCCGCTATGGCTCGTCTGGTGGCAAAGGCGATGCAGGACTACCAGTTTGTTTTCATTGCGGGTGAATGTTTCCAGAGGTTTAGAAAGCAGCAGGGCCCATGGTCCTTAGGGAATATTTCCCCACACAGTTTCTAGCACAGATTGTTGGGCTTGCGCAGCATTGCTGCCAGGGGATGGGGGATTAAACACCACTTGAATAGCATTTTGTATGCTTGCTCCTGGTGGGTGACGCAGATGGTTATAAATTTTGTAGCTTCCCAGTTGTCAGACCAGTCTGTGGGGTCCCCCGGTGGGCCGAGATCGCACTCCCAGGCTGAGATGTAGGGGAAAGAAATTTGGGATTGGTGCGTTGCTAGTGAAGTGTATAGGTTGGATATCTATCCTTTGCAAGATGGTCAGCCTACGCAGTCCCTTTCAAGACCTGTCAGGGTGGAGGTTGCTGCTAGCATGACCATTGACGATGAGGCAAACCTTCTGAAGGCAGCGGAAGTGGTCAAAAGTTGTGAGGGTCTGCTGGTAAGGGAGGTCAGGGTATTGGAGTGGTACTCTGTTTGGGTACAGATGATCTAATATTGCTACATTCCTGTCTTCGAAGTGCACGTAATGCTTTGAAGTCATGCCTGGTTGGAACAGCTTGTTGCGAAGAATGGGGGTGAGAGGAGAGTGACCCGTGGAGAGGTCATATTTTTCCTTGAGGCGGTCCCATATGTCAATAGAGTAAGTGATTGCTGGGGGTGTTTTGGGGGGAGAGGTCTATGTAGACGGGGTTGCCATATATATAGGGTGGGGTGGTCTCGGCCAAAGATAGAGTGTTCTAAGTCCACCCATCTCTTGCAGTCCGGTGGGAAATGCCAGTGTTGAATTTGAGTCAAATCGGCTGCTTGTTGGTAATGAAGGGGGTTCGGGAGGCCTAGACCCCGTAGAGTTTGAAGACATAGAGTGTGGTTCTTCGTCGGATATAATTACTGGGAGTAGATCTGATTTAAAGGCGTTAAGTTGGTAGCCGGATATTTCCAAGTGTTCCTTTATTGTGGAAAGAAGGGTTGCCAGGGAGGATTCTGGGTGGGTGATTGTCAGTAGGATGTCATCCACATATGCGGAGAGTTGTAAGTGTTCCCCTCGAAATGTGATTCCTTCTATGTCTTTGTTGCATCTAATGGTTTCTAGGAGTGGTTCAAGGGAGAGGGCGAACAGTAGGGGGGATAGGGGGCATTCTTGGTGGATACCGTTGAGGATTGGGAAGGTGGCGGTGTTGGGGATCAACAAGTGTCCGGACGGTGTATTATACATTGCTGATAAGAAGTGTTTAAAGTTTTGGTGGGAAGCCAAATTTATCGAGGACCGCGTAGAGGTAGGGCCACAGGACGTGGTTGAAAGCCTTCTCAGTATCGAGCGAGACCATGGCCATCAGAAGGCGTTTGCAGTTGGCTAGCCAGATCAAGTCTATGGTTCATCTGGTGTTGTCTTGTGCCTGACGATTAGGGATAAATCCTACCTGGTCTGGTCCTATTAGTTTTTTTAAATATGTGTTCAATCTGTTTTTCATAACTTTCGTCATCAGTTTGAGGTCTACGTTCAGCAGCAAAATGGGGCAGTAGTGACCGGGTTCGTCTAGGGGTTTTCTAGGTTTGGGTATGAGGGTGATGTTAGCTTGGGTCATGTCTGGTAGGAGGGGGTCGCCCTTTAGGAGTGCATTGAATACATTGCATCATTTTAGGATAAGTATGTCTCCAAAAGATTTATAGTATAGGGCAGTGAGGCCCCCCGGGTCCAGGGCTTTTGTTAGGCTTGAGAGTGCCGAGCGCTATGGATAGTTCTTCGTGAGTGATGTTCGAAGATATCGCTCCCCGAGCCTACTCCATTAATGCGGGGAGGTTAAGATCGTGTAGGAATGTGGATGTTCACGCTTTGATGTGATTAGCTTGGGTGTTGGGGCTGTGGTTATATAGTTGGAAGACCTCACCAATCTCTTTGCTTATGGTGCCGTCAGGGGTGCGGATAGACGAGATTTGTTTGTATTCGATAGTGGTTTTAAGGTGGTTGGCTAGCATTGTGTCCGCTTTATTTCCCTTTTCGTAATATTTTTGTTTGGTCCACATCATGGCCTTAGAGG